CCCTACCATATGAAGGCTGATTCAACAAGGGCCATGGCCTCTTCAACAGCATTCCTCAGAGGAGTGGACCTCACTGATATGTGTAGAGCTGCCACCTGAGCTACACCATCAACCTTCGCAGCTCACTACCAGCTGGATGTCCTAGCCAAGGCTGAAGCCACAGTGGGCCGTGCTGTCCTGGCCTCTGTGCTCTCGTGACGTTCCTCCACCTGGTAAATCAGCTTGCTAGTCAATCCGTTAGTGTGCATTCACAGAGACCATGAAGAAGAAAGAGGTTTCTTACCTGTAACTCTGGTTCTTCAAGTGGTCATCTGTGAATTCACACTAATGGGTTAATCTGCGCCTCTGCAGAGCAGCCTCGGAACCTTCAAAGCAGATAGTTCTAAGGAACTGGGGCACTTGGTGTTGGGGGCAGGGTTAAAGGCAGCATGTGGAAGTTCCTGGCACCATGTGCCTGAGCTCTTGAAGGTTCCGAGGCTGCTCTGCAGAGGCGCAGATTAACCCATTAGTGTGAATTCACAGATGACCACTTGAAGAATCAGGGTTACAGGTAAGTAACCTCTTTTTATTAGACAGAGAATACCGAAAAGAGAAGGGAAGTTCTTAATTCAAGTGCATGTCTCTGTACAAGCCTCATTGCTCTTAGAAGCTTGAGGAGATGCTACAAGAAGATAAACATGTAATTTTTAGCTGAAGCACAGGTTGTTGACTTATCCTGCTGGTTAGGAACATGTGATTCCCTCGTATCTGCAGTTTCAGGCACCCACAGTACATCATGGAATTAATCCCCTGTAGATACCATGGGTTCTACTGTGCTATTTGACTTCATCTCTCATCAGCTCCAGCTAGCATGTTCAGTGATCAAGGGTGATCAAATTGTATTTCAGCATTTGGAGGACTGCAGGTTCCCCACCCTCAGTGTGATATTTGATGATGCTGTATTTCTATCCCCTTCCATACAGCATTAAAAGTGTAAGACTGTACAAGGTGTCCTAAGTAGTGCACACATAGTCTTGCCAGTGACATATTCATGCATAAAATGGATTTCTATGAGAAGAATCTATACACATTATGGTCTCCATGTAAGCAAGAAAGCTGTGCTGTTTGTATCTTGCACAGCCCCCCTCCATATAGATGTTTACATTTGGTCAGAACTACAGGTCATGTATCACAGAGTGGGATGTGGGGCTGCATAATATAGTCTTGCCTGCATAGTGAGTTTTCCAGGTTTAGTGATACATCAGTAGAGCTTCTGGGTAACTCTTAAAGTATTTAATGTTTTTAGATAAGCCTGAAAGGCATTAATTTTCCTGTTTGGGTTCTCTTATTCTGGTTCATAAGAGGAAGCAGATAACTTCTTTTCACCTAGCTTTATCGTCTGTGTTAGGTACCCAGATGCACCAATCTACGGGAGTTTGAGTTCTCTGCAGTGACCACAGTGGAAACCAGAACACCTAACTATGTTCTGTGGTTATTCCTGTGTTCTCTCATAAGGAAAGATATTGAATATGTACAGAAATAGTCTTTTAGAATCATGTATTACTGGATGTAGTAAATGCACAAGGATTTTCCTGAAATCTCATCTCTCAGTATTTTCTGGTTAACAACTGCTTCAACACACTTGTTTGCTGACTGGACACAATTGTTTTCTTTTCTTGTAAGTGACGAGGAACGATATAGGTACAGAGAATATGCAGACAGAGGCTATGAACGACATAGAACAAGCAGAGAGAAGGAAGAGCGGCACCGAGAAAGGAGACATCGAGAAAAGGAGGAGACGAGACACAAGTCATCACGAAGGTTAGCTTTTTAATAAGCAGTGAAAGTATTTTTTGTAAGATAGAAAGAGGTTAATTCAAGTATAATAAGAAACCTTGAACTTCTGTGTGGTGTTTTCAGTTGCTAAAAGTAGAAAATATTCTTGGATAGTGTTAGCCCTTGTTAACTTATGACCAGTAAATCAGACTGAAAGAGAGATAATAATGGTTCTTCTAGATGTTACTATTCACTCTTCTGCTTGAGGAGGGAAAGATAATGCTCTTGCCATTTCAGCAAAGAAAACGAGGTTTCTCCCACTCATAGTGGCAGCTAATCATCCCTGAAGTGCTTGTGGGACTCTGAGATACTGGGGCCTGGGCTATTTCCTGACAGTGTGGATCTGTGGCATTGACACAGATTAGATTTGCTAATGACATTAATTCAGCCTTACATTGTGTGAAAAGAGGAGCTAAATGCGACTATTATATTACTTGCTAGCTAGAATCCTATTGGTGTTTGTGCAACTTATTGTGGCTAATGGCAGCCAATGGATGAGCTGCTCGGACCCATTTACTTGCATTACCAGCAACATAATTAGGCAAGTGACTGAAAGCACCTCATCAGTTATATGCAGTTATATTACGTGAACACTGAAGACTGTGACCAGTCTTGCCTTGGCCACTCCAGAGACATTATAGAGTGACCAAGAAGATCTCTCTGCCTGACATAGTGCTTCCAGTGAAAATTAAGAAAAAAACAACCAAAGCCCTCTTATAAAGCAATTTTAAGGCTGCCTGTGTAAACAAACATAAAATTCTGTTAAGAGTTTAAGTTCTCATTGATAAATAAAATTATTGCCACATAGCTGCAAAAATAAATTTGATTATCTTATTACAAAGGTTTTCAGGGCAGTTGTAGGTGCCCCCAAAATCCTCCAGTTCTTGTTCTAAAGAATCATAATGAAGTGCAACAGTGGCAATATTTTTCTTCAGTCTCCTTTTGGCTTAAATTGTGTAAGCTTAGAAAATACGTTTCATGACCACACTGCACAGCTTTATAACATCCAAGGCAAGAAACAGAAAGCTGGTACTTAGTGTGAAACTTCATTTAATAGCTTTCTGTGTTTTCCTCCCTTTCTTACAGTAACAGTCGGCGTCGCCATGACAGTGAAGAAGGGGACAGCCACAGGAGGCACAAACACAAAAAATCAAAAAAGAGCAAAGAAGGAAAAGAAACAGGTGGTGGCGAACCTGCCCCAGAACAGGAAAACACTGATGCTGCCCCTGCAGAATAGGCATGTGTGTTTTTGCCTACTTGCTTATATTATTGCCAGAAATAGATTGCTCTAAATCTAATTATTTTTCTGGGTCTTAAAACACTGCTCTTAATCTTGTTCTGTTAGTACAAAAGCATAAGTTTAATCTGGATTTTTGAAAATAAAAAAGAGTGAATTTTCCATGTTAAAGCATGTTGTTTTTGTCATATCTATACATCAAGAAATGTAAAGGTATACATAATACATGTCATACAATATTGTATATATATACGTATATATATATAACGTATACCATGAAGTGTACCTGGAGAGTTAGTTAATGAGCTCCTGTACTCACCTGTATCTGCCGCCCCCCCATATAGGGGCATTTTTGTGGTGCCAAACCCCGTCCTTAGTGTTTTCTGTCTGCCAAAAAAGACTGATTTCTGTTTCTTCCAGGAACAATGATTTTTACCATAGGGGCCTTGGACAAGACCTCCCCCCCTACAAGAAATCTAAAAGAGAAAGTGGAAGTGCCTGCCTGTGCCCTTCCCCCACCCCCATCCAATGCCTACAGTATTTCCAACCCTATGCCTATGGTGGTCTATTGTGGCCACTAGCTCGCTAAGATCAACCGTCTTAACTTTCCACTATTAACCTGAGTGTCATTGACATGCAGTGTGCAGAACTAGTACAAAGGCTTTCCCAACAAAGGGCTCATTTAGACAGGTGTTTGTCACCCTGTTTGCTGCATTGTAGGAGTGGATTTGGTCACACTTTTTTTCTGGGAGCCACATAATGATTGCCTCCAGGGCACCCCAACCCACACCTTTCTGAGCCCCTGTCAGGGCCTACTACTTTTTTGGTCTGAGTTCTTGTGCTCTAGTTTAGTCTGTCCCCTGTGAATGCATTCACTGGGAATGAACTTCTTGTTTGAATTTCCAGTAACGTGAAGTGGCTTAATAAACAAGCCTCTTCAGGACATTGGTAATTTGAACACTTTTCCTGCTCTTGTGCAGAGGAGCAGGGAAATGAAATTATTTTTCTACAGATGCACAGAATCACTTAGATTAACATTTTTTTAAAAAAATATTTGCTTTTGTGTGAAGTGCCAATCAAAACCGTGGTTTCTTGATCAGCAGTATTCACAAAGAAAAGGAAAAAAATGTGCAGAGTAGCAGATGAAGTGTTCAATTGCACCAGAAGGAGCTGGACAGTTGCTTGAGGTCGATACGCCATTTGGACACAAAGATCACACCAAATAGCTTATCTCCCCGCAATCCTATTTAGACTCCGCCAGCCTACACTAAAATGGCCATTGTAGGTGTGCCCTTGCTCAACAAACTGAAGGACTTTAACATGACCAACGTACAGAGTCTGGAGGAATAAATTACAACCACCATTTTGGTTGCCACTTGAAATATATACAGTAGTTATGTAGCTTCTCATTCAAGGGATCAAAAGCAAAACTCCACATATCTTCAACCTGTTTCTCCCTCTCTATGCATAAACAAGTTTTTAAAAGTTTTAAAGTTTTGTGTACTGCTTACAGTACTGTAGTAGACTGTGCGTATGTGTACCCATTCTGATACACCTGGTGCCTCCTGTCATATCAATTGACAACTACCCCGCAAGGAAGATAATGGACAAAACTCAGTAAAATAGGTAGAATATTCACATGAAATAATGAATAGTCATGAATTAGAAGTACTGGAGAGAAATATGTATTTTTGTGTATGTTTTTTTTCTTCCTGAAAATAACCTCGTTTTACCAAGTACAATTACAGTTATTTAAAGAGTAAAAATAAAAATTCATTCACAGTTATTACACTAGGAAACAACATTTTAAAATATCTGCTTCATACTGACCACAAAAAAGTCTTATAATCACTAGCTTTTGTGTCTTGAATAGATGCTGCCAACAAAATTGTTAGAAAAGTATTGCAATAATTATTTCAAGAGATTTTAGAGATACTTTACTCCATTCGAAAGTTGTATCTTTTTTTTTAATAAACATAAGGTGAAACATTACTACTCTGCTTTCAGTAGATATAAAAATACAAACAAGTGAGACAAAGATCAGCACGTGTACCCTGGCATTTAAGATCGCACTAGATGGCTGTATTTTAAAAGTGCATTTTTTTGTCTAATACAAGGATTTGTTTTCCTTAAAAGCATTCTGTGTTATGCACACTTACACTGAACAACTTTTTCTTTTACAATTAAATAGGTGAACAGAAAGTGGAGTAAATAGATGTCCATATAGCTGGCTGATCATGTGTCAGTTAGTTGTTGAATTTCTCCAGGTGAAATACAATTTTATAAAAAAGTACCAGGCCAGGACACAATGGTGAGAGTAATTTTCCCCTTCAGTTCTTTTAGCATCCTTGCCAAACAGGCGTGCACCATTCCTGAGATATTCCTGCCATTTACTGCAAGGAGGAGGTCCCCACATCTGGAAGAAAAGAAGGATGTACGAGTTACTGACATTTCAGTTACTCCCAGATAAGAACATATCTTCAAATAAAATAAAAAAACAATCTCTCTTGTTATTCTTGAACTTTTGTTCTTTAGAATGCTTTTGATTCTGTTCTCAGGAAAATAGTAAATAAAGGGATAGAATTAAATTAGTGAGGTACCGATGAATAAAGATTAATTGAAAACTTACTGAAGAGGAATAAACCATTCTGTAGGGTTTTTTCATGCCACCCCATCACATCACCCCTGTATTCTATTCTGAAGTCTTACTGTTCTAGGGGCAAATAGGAAACAGATTTTTTAAAATATGAAATGCCCATTAAAAAGAAAAACAGCATGTATGGGACATAATAATAATCACCATGTGCTTTCCAGGGCTTTTTAGGTAGAAAGTACAGTACTCAGAAGTGATTGAGGGCTTTTTAGGTAGAAAGTACTCAGAAGTGGTTTACCATTCCCTTCTGGGGTCATTCTGGGTTTATGCTGGCTCTTTTGGGATATATAGTGGGGAGTTGAACTCCTAACCTCACTGAGATAGCCACCAGAAATAATTGCCAAATCAAATCTGACTTGTGGTGATCCTTTCCTGGGTTTTCTCAGTAGAGAATACTTAGAATTGGTTTCCGGTTCTCTTCTTCTGGGGGCACCCTAGAATTGTGTATTTTGTCCAAGGCTACACAGGCTGGTTCTCCTCCCAGGAAACACAGTAGGAAATAGCACTATAAATAAATGAGTCTTGGATTTGGGTGTTATATATATTTGCATTACACACAGGAATCAGTATTATCTGATCTTGTAGAGAATCAGTGACAGCCAATGTAGAGAATCTTGTAGAGAATCAGTGAGAGCTCTATGTCTACATAGTGGATTTAGTGTCAAACAAGGACTCAGGAGACCTGGGTTCAAATCTTTGCTCAGGTATGGAAAGTCAGTTGGGGACAGCAGTATTAAAACCACTACAGTGGTGCCTCACTTGACGAGGATAATCTGTTCCAGGAAAATTGCTGTAGAGCGAAATCCATGTCAAGCGAAAAAAAGCCCATTGAAATGCATTGAAAACTGGTTCAATACATTCCAATGGGCGAAATACCTCAGCGTCCAGCGAAGATCCTCCATAGGGTGGCCATCTTCCGATGCCTGTGCAGTGAAAAATCCATCCTAGAGCACAGTGGGGAGCCATTTTACACAGCGGGTGGCCATTTTGGACCCCGACGATCAGCTGTTTTGAGCGTCATAATGCAAAGAATCGGTTCCCGAAGCAGGGAACCGATCATCAGGAAGTGAATTTTGCCCATTAAAACATCGTTTTGCGATCGCAAAAGTGATCACAAAAACCTCATTGTCAAGCGGATTCATCGTTTAATGAGGTAATCGTTAAGCGAGGCACCACTGTACTTAAATATTTCACATAACTTTGAAAATCATACTAGCTTGCAATATATTGAGGCAACTAGATAGCATTGAAAATCATCCTATACAGTTCCTAGCATTTCAAGAGAATAACCACTTGTTCCAACAGATAAACTATTTCATTAGGTGCTCTTATAAGTTTCTCATGTTTTGCCTTTTTCCAGGGGGAGGGAATGAGAAGTTGCCCTTGGGGAAAAATTGGGGGAGGAGACTTTTTTCCTTTCCCATCTTTAGATGTGCCACTTTTCACAAAAGCAATGACAGATAAGGGCAGGGTTAAGTACAGTGGGGTCTCTACTTAAGAACTTAATCCGTATTGGAAGGTGGTTCTCAAGTTGAAAAGTTCTTATGTTGAATCTGCATTTCCCATAGGAATGCATTGAAAACCATTTAATCCGTATCTGCTCTTTTCCGTCCATAGAAACTACAGTGGAACCTCTACTTAAGAACTTAATCCATTTTGGAATGATGTTCTTAAGTTGAAACGTTCTTAAGTTGAAGCAAAATTTCCCATAGGAATGGACTGAAAACCAATTAATCCGTTCTGGCTGTTTTTTTTGTTATGTAGAGGTGCGTTCGTACATTGAAGCATTAGTTCCCAACGGAACTAATGCAAAGCTGGTTAATACGTACTCTACCACTAGGGGGAGAATTTTTTTTAACCTAAGATGACCTAAGGTTAAAAAAAGAGCAGGAAAGGTTTTTTTTTCCTGTTCTTATCTTGGATTTCTGTTCTCAAGTAGAAGCAAAATTTAGCAAATGGAGCTGTTCTTAAGTTGGATTGTTCTTAAGTAGGGACGTTCTTAAGTAGAGACCCCACTGTACTCCCTTCTTTGTGTGTTGAACTGAGTAGGTAAGTACAGTGGTGCCTCGTTTGACAAGGATAATTCGTTCCGTTCAAATCGCTGTTAAGCGAAATCCTCATCAAGCGAAATTAAAAAACCCATTGAAATGCATTGAAAACCGGTTCAATGCATTCCAATGGGTGAAATACCTGCTCGTTTTGCAAAGATCCTCCATAGGGCAGCCATTTTCCGGTGCCTGTAAAGCGAGGAATCCGTCCTAAAGCACAGCAGGGAGCCATTTTGCACAGCGGGTGGCCATTTTAGAGCCGCCGATCAGCTGTTTTAAAATCGTCGTCTAGCAAAAAATTGGTTCCCAAAGCAGGGAACCGATCATCATTAAGCGAATTTTCCCTATAGCAACATTGTTTTGCGATCGCGATAGCGATTGCAAAAACTTCATCATAAAGCGGTTTCATCTTTTAAAGAGGTAATCGTTAGGCGAGGCACCACTGTATTGCTTCAACCTGCAGTAGACTACCAATCTCGTATCAGAATATTTGTGGGATGAAGGATATGCAAGCTTAAAAAAACTGTCAATGGTACATGCTAAACTGGTAAATGAACTACATAGTTATTAGGAACTATTCAGATATTTGGGAAAAGGGCTGTAGCTCAGTAATAAAATTTATGTATTCTCTTTCTTTAAAAATAACTATGATGCCATACAGCAGGCAACAATCATAAACATTGAATGCAAAAATCATTAAATGTACTAACAATAAAAGGCATCTAAAAGAGTCAAGTTATAAAATGTGCACTTAAAATGTCTTTTCTAAAAGCAGGAAGACTAGGAACAAGTTGTAGTTCTAATGTGAATGCATTCCAAGGCTAGGAGGAAGCTCTTTTCTTTCCCTGTTCTATCTGCCAGTCTTCTGGCTTCTGTGGATTAAAAAAAAATACTCAAGGGGATGTCTGCTAGTTTTTTTAATGAACAATGGGTTCTCAATGAAGTGGTAGCCCTTTAGATAGTCACCCCTAAGCCAGTGTTTCTCAACCTTGGCTCCTCAGATGTTCTTGGACTACAACTCCCAGAAATCCTGGCCAGCACAGCTAGTGATGAAGGCTTTACTCCAAGAACAATGGTTGAGAACCACTGCCGTAACTCATTTAGTGTTCTGATGATTAAATTCAAAGCCTTAAGAACAATGTGCATGCCTTTCAGTATCAAAGGATTATCTTAACACTATGCACAAATTAAGACGTCACATTTTGCACCATCAGAATCTTCCAGACACATTTCAGTGAAAGCTCTATGTAGAGCATATTACAGTGGTCAAAACATGATGCAACCAAGGCAGAGGTAATTAGCATGAACAATGTTTTGCCTTTTCAGAAGGCCCTAGGTTCAGTCTTGGTGTATTGATGTACAACTGGCAAACGTTTCTTGTCTGCCACCTTAGACAACAGCTTCCTGCAGCCTGACAGCATAAGGCAGTATCCCACATTTGGTGGAAAAGATTGTGTTATTAGTAATGTGATTCCATTACCTGATTCTTCCGTCATTATATGCTGGGGTTCCTCCAACAATTGATTTGATAAAAAATGGCTTGTTTCCACTCCTTTCTTCGTAACCTCCCACAATGCTGAAGCCAAGACTTCCTGCTGTATTTCTTCGTAATACAATGTCTTTACAACTGTACAAATACCTAAAAAATAGTTCCATTTAATAGTAAGTTGTCGAACAAATTCAAAATTATCAATGAACAGTTACTACATTGTTGGCAATTTCAGACTTTAAAAGCAAGTCTGTACACCTTAGCTGCATACTATAAACAAAGAGCCAATGAAGATGCTTTGTTTTGCATATATTTAGAGGTGTTTTGTAGGAATAGTTAAGTGAAATGTATTCTTGAAAGTTTTCACGGCTGGGATCCGGTGGTTGTAGGGTTTTCCGGATGTTTGGCCATGTTCTGAGTATATGCAGAGAAACAAATGTTGAGGTAAATAGCTCTATGCACCTACATAATTGTTTCAATATGATTATTTTAAAACATATTCCATTTGCTATATACAAATTGCATTCACTTATAAATACTCTTCTTCAGTACTTTCTCTGGCTTTTTGTCTGCAATTATTAATTTGATACTGATAATTCACACCTCATGGAACACTTTCCTAGCCAAGGAAGAGTTCTGTGCCACTTGGAAGCTTGCAGAACTCTACAGTCCCACTCATCCACCCAGGTTGGTTCAATAACAGAACTACATTTATAGTAGATCTTTGTCATCACACAGGCAGCAATCAGAGATAAAGGTTTATATTAGGAGGGGGAAATTAAAAACAAAAAATGGTATTCCCATTTTAAAGAAATGTTTGAGGGATAGGTTTTTGCTGTACTTTGGCAGGATTTTTATGCTACGATTAGACAAGGCCCTTGGGAACTACAAATATTCACGTGCTGGCAAGATATAAGATACAATGTTTGTGCAACAGTTAGCGGGCTCTTAATGTAAAACACAGGTGCTTGGCCCTTCTGTTGGAGGCTAGCTCTACTGTATTTCTTTGCCATCTGTAGTAGGCTATTTTTCATGGAGACATAACATTCGCCAGATTTAACAGTCTTCATGAAGGTTGTGACCAAATGTTGCCAGGACTCAATCATTGATAGCTGTTCTCTAATGCACACATGCACAGCCAGTTAAGCAGATTATATTTGTACTAATTCATCCCTGCCATTTTAGAGGTTTTCTAAAATCTGGGGTTTCTTTCAAACTGTTATGTAGCATTTCTGCAGTACATTGAAAATACTTAACTATGATTAACTTACTGATTTAATCTACACCTGCCTTTTCCCAAAATCTTCCATAAACCCATTGTTTTTTCCTTATGTCTGTACACTGTGGGGGGATGGCTGTAGGTCAGTAATGGAGTACCTGATTTACAACATGAATTCCAGATTCGACCCTTGAGATCATTGAGCAGGATTCACAAAGACAGCTGTCTGAAACTGTATAGAGCAACTGACAATTAATGTAGCTCAAAGTAACGGGAACCTCTTTCATCCTAAAAGTTGAATTCAGTGTCAGAGACATTCTCAGACGCTGCATTCCAGTGGGGGGTGGGGGGATCAACAGCAAAAGGGAGGGGCCAAAATACCCAAATATTTTCGGTTAACACTCTTAACAGGCAGTACTAGCCTTAGGAGATAACATTTTTGTCTTTTAGAATCGGGGAAAATGCATAAAGATCTGGGAAATTACCAAACAACATGGCATGAGAAAGAGTCACAAGGGCACTGAATCTACTCTGGGTTTTAGTCCAAATTTTAAAAAGGTGGTTCAAGGTGTTGAACCTATTTTAGATAAAGAATCGGATACTGGATAGTTCTAGATTTCGGACTAGCACATGGAGTGGATTTGTTGTCTTCATGACAATTGTATGTCTCCAGTGTTTACCAGGTTTGGACCCACAGAGGGTCAGATCTGACCCTAGTACTTGACATTTTCTGCTCATAGTGTTGATGTTGCTGAGTTAAACAGATAGCTTTGAAGGGCTAGGCAGCTTTGGATGATCCTAATTTTGATATAAACAAGATTACATTTACTTATATTTCTATGATACTTAGCATGAGCACCCAGCAAAATTCAGCTAATGCATGTGTCTATATATTTAATAAATTTACAGATTTTTTTATTCTCATCACTGTATTTTCTAAAATATATTGGGTATTATCCTGTTCAGAGCATAAAGGAAATAATGTTAATAATCCTGTCCAATTCCCAACAGATCCTGCTGCATGTCTGATGATGCAATTGCTTAGGAAACTAAACTTGCTACAGTTAAAAATACAAGGAGCCTGCTGGACTATGAGAAATGCTTAACATAATTGCCCTTCTACAACCATATAATGCAATAGGATACTAGCTCTTATTTGATTCATTTGGAAGTGGCCTTGAACCCTGTACCAAATAGGTAAAACCTAATTGAAATATTTGTAGAAAAACTTTCAAGAATTTAACTGTAATAGCTTTATAAACCCAGTGTTTTGAAAACAGTACTGTATAGCAGGAGCGGCAGCAGCGCCCTCTGGTCTGAAGAATTATACCTTCAACATCCCATTTGCAATTTACATTTGTCTGATGCAGGTGGGTGGCTTGACCAAGCTTTTATTACAAGGCGGGGACTCTGGTCAGTACTAATTTTCTTAGTTCCTGTTAAAGGCCCAGTGGTAGCCTGAACTAACAAAGTGGAAGCAGGAGCAGTTTAAAACAACAGAGGGAGAAGGTAGTCCGTGTTTTACAGTTCAGAATTGCAGGCAAAGGGCTAATTCTAATTTTAGGGCTACTGTGTTTATTTAACACAGTGTTTATTTAACACAGTGGCTGAAATCCTGTTCTGCAGTTATGGAAACCCTGACTATTAGATGTGAACTGATGTTGAGAAATCTCCATAGGCACTATCTGTTGCATACCAAATTGTCTGACTCCATATGCAACCAATAATGTCTACTATTTTTTAACTTGCAGCAGTTTGCTTCTTCGTGTTACGTCTTCGCCTAGAGTGGTCTATTAGGCCAGATAGGCGGGGTATAAAGCAAGCAAGCAAGCAAGCAAGCAAATAAATAAACAAATAAAATGTTGTTTGCGTAACTGTGCATAGAATCAAGCAGTGATTCTATGATTAGCCATGGAACCATAACACTCCCAATATTAGCCTTGTCCAAAGTATCAGAAACCCCATTGGACTTACGCTGCAATGACAGAAGGAAGAGGAGTGTATTCACCTTTTTCCTCTTGTCATCAGCTGTTTCTTTATAAATTCCCAATGAAACCAAGGGAAGGAAAATTAATCTGTCAGCTCCAAAGGTTGTGGTGAACTGTCGTTATTGTATTATGGATGTTTTTGGGAAGCAACTATGGATCCACAGCCTCTCCTGGCATGCCCACCATTGCATGCCCACCATGCACTTTCCAGGTTGTATGGTTACATGTGTACTCAGAGACTTCTCTGTCCTTGAAGGTGAAGATCTAATATATGTAGAGTGCATCCTAAAAAAAACTGTAAGATTACACTGCTCATAAATGCACAACTGAATTTGAGAAATCACCTACAACTGAGCACTTTTCTGGTTGTCTATAAAACGTCTGCATTTTGTTTTACTCCTCTTATTTTCCAAACCAGTGAATTAGTTGTAAGCTGCTCTTAATATACAGGAGCAAACAGGATATGCATCAAACAGAAAGGATTTGGTAGACTAATCTGAGCTGGAGCAACTCACACAATAAGTGATATAAATTTATATAAGATACAAATCAGGACATTCTATGTTATCTCCTGTTGAACAATTCATGCACACATAATGGAATTAATAATGTGAACAAGTTTTCATACTACCTCACTTAGAATTATGAATTCGGGGGGGTGGGCTAAATTTTATCGCAGTTTAGATTTTAATCCCAGGTTAAGAGAAAGTTTCATCTCTGTGTTCTTTCCTGATGAAGAGAGGGAGGTTTCTTTATATCTGCTACTGCTTGTTCATTATGAGCACTACTGCTGAAGTCACTGGGGGCATGACAGGCTCAAGTGGAGCTTGAACTTGGCACAGACTAGAATAGGCTATTCTTTCAAGTTTGAAAGGGAATTGGTTAGTTTTCTGAGTAAGTTTGCCCTAGATACTTGCATGCTTCATTGTAACTCATTCATTTGTAGTATCCTCTCAAGGATATAAATAGCTTTAAACATCTGGAGCTCAGCACTTGTTGTAGGTAGAGAAATACAGTAGGACCCTGGTATCCATGGGATCAATATCTGTGGATTCACTTATCCACAGTCTGAAAATATTAAAAATATTAAATGAAAATATCGAGCAATATGGATTTTCATGATTGAATTATCAGAACTGGCCACCAGAGGGAACCAAACACTATGTTATATAAGTAAGCCAACGCCATTTCACCTAGTCTCCTGGCAGCTTGAGGCACCTTCCTCTACCTTCCAGAGCAGCGTTGTTTGTAAAACTGAGAGCTGGGTTGGCTGGTAAAGCTGAAGGAGGTATGATGACCAATAGCAAACTGCCTCCTGGAAGAGGTTTCCCATTTCCTGCCCTTCCTGCCTTCCAGCCAGCCCCTTCCTCACCCTGGGAAAACAAGGAAATGCATTCTTAATTGTCTTTGAAGACAATTAAAAGTGTGTGTGTGTGTGTGTGTGTGTGTGTGTGTGTGTGTGTGTGTGTGTGTGTGTGTGTGTGTGTGTGTGTGTGTGAGAGAGAGAGAGAGAGAGAGAGAGAGAG